AAAGCAAAAGGCATGCAAAAATAAATTTATTAATAATAAATGTGGAGGAAAAGTGAGAAAAAGCATTCAAAAGAAAAAATTTATGGTGAAAAATGTAAGGATAAAGTAAGCAAACGACATGCAAAAATAAAGTAAGCAATGATATCTATAAATAAAGTTAGCAAAATAACATGCGAAAATAGAGCTGGTAATAACGCATGCACAAGAAAAGTAAATGAAACATGCAGAAACAAACGTGCAGAAACGTAATAAAATATTTACAAATGAAGTTAATAAAAGATATGCAAAAATAAAGCAATAAAATAAGTACAAATGCAGCAAGTAAAAAACATAAAAAATAAAGTGCGTAATGAAATGTTACAAAAAAAAAGGTGAGTAAGAGGCATGCAAAAATAATGTTGGTAATAATACATGCAGAGAAAAGCTGAGTAAAAAGCATTCAAAAATGAAGTTCACAACGAAATATGTAAGAATAAAGTAAGTAAAACGACATACAAAAATAAAGTAAGCAATGATATGTACAAATAAAATAAATAAAAGGCATGCAAAAATAAAGCTGTACTAATAATGCATGCGGAAGAAAAGTGAGTAAAAGCATAAAGAAAAGAATTTTATAATAAAATATGCAGAAATAGAGTGAGTAAAACGCATGAAAAAATAAAGTCAAAAGTAAAATATGCACAAAAAAAAATATGGACAAATAAATCAGCATGCAAAAATAAAGTAAAAATAAATGGCATGCAATAAAAAAAACGCAAATAAATGAATAAATGACATGCGAAAATAAAGTAATGAGTAATATATGCACAGTTAAAGTGAATAAAAGGCATGGAAAAATAAAGTAATAAAACATGTATAAACAAAGTAAGTAAAAGGTATGTGAAAATAAAGTACGTAATGGAATGTCACAAAAAAAAGTGACTAAAAGGCATGCAAAAGTAAAGTTTATGAAGAAAAATGTAAGAATAAAGTAAGTAATAAAATATGCACAAAAAATTAAGTAAACAACATGCAAACATAAAGTTAGTAATAAAATATTTACAAATAAAGTGAATAAAAGATATGCAAAAATAAAGTAATAAAATAAGTACAAATGCAGCAAGTAAAAAACATAAAAAAATAAAGTGCGTAATGAAATGTTACAAAAAAAAGAAAAAGGTGAGTAAGAGGCATGCAAAAATAATGTTGGTAATAATACATGCAGAGAAAAATAGAGTAAAAAGCATTCAAAAATGAAGTTCATAATGAAATATGTAAGAATAAAGTAAGTGAACGACATGCAAAAATAAAGTAAGCAATGATATGTACAAATAAAATAAATAAAAGGCATGCAAAAATAAAGCTGTACTAATAACACATGCGGAAGAAAAGTGAGTAAAAGCATAAAGAAAAGAATTTATAATAAATATGTAGAAACAAAGTGAGTAAACGCATGAAATAAAGTAAGTAGTAAATATGCAC